ATTGTTCCGAGACTGTTTCCCACTGCGCTGCCTTTCAAAAGTGCAAGTCACTCTTTTGTTGGACGCAGTCTGCTGACCCTGTGACAGTGGGACTGAACGCCAGATGTATGGAGAATACATCTCCCACTTTCTTCCCTCTGTTTGGTGTCAAGGCCAAAGCCTCGGATTCCATTTTTCTCGCTCAGATTCCTTAACTTTGTAGCTGTACTAAGAATGGCCCGACGAGAATGAAAGGCCCATGAAATGGAAGTTTTATTTCAGGCATGCACATATTAAATCCCATTGAACACTACACGTATCATCAATTTTAAATGCCACTTTTAAGGTCAATTTGATGCATATTCAATGCAACTTCGTATATTTATGAGCAAAAGTGTGATGCCATTTCGGGAAGAAATGACAATGCCATCACAACTTAAGCACTTAAGCTTTTGCCAGATTTCCAGATTCTTGCTCTCATAAACTTTCTTAGTTTTTGGTCATTCATTAAGTCCTGACAGAAGTGACCAAAGTTTCTTCACAAACAGTTTCAAAGAGCCTGGAAAATTTTGAATGGAAGGAGAGAAGAAGGAAGCTTGTGACCCCAAACAGTTGGTGGACAGTGCCAAAAAAAATAAAAATTATGATTACAAATTTGACAACTGCCAGAGATTTGAAAAGCAGGAGAGGATGTTATTGAGAATATTGTGCCTCTAAAATAAGAAGATAAATATGTGCAGAATGGATCACTGTAAAGCCTATAAACATTGTTCGGTTCGAGAGAAAAAGATTCCACTTCTTTTGAGCGATCTTTACATACAGTACCTGTCATGCTCACCCTCCTGTTTCCGAACATTTCTGAAACTGGCCCAAGTTCTTCTAACATGTTTCTCTCCTTTCCAGGGAGTGTCATAAACATCTGGGTATATCGTGGACTGTGAGTACCAAAAAAATCCCTCAATTTTCTTGAAATTTGTTTTCTTTTGCAGTCATTAACTTACAGTCTGCTGGTAGTCATTTGTTCACATGCCATAAATCATTACAATTTGCATGGAGGGGAGATAAGCAAAACTACTTGCATCCACAAATTTCGGACAAAATTCCCGTGATGAACGTAATTTCTTTTCACAAAGTCAGGGCGAATTTTTAGTAAGAACAATTGCTAAAATCCATCCAAAGCACTTGTGCTCAGGCAGTGTTTTCCTCGAAAATACTACAAGTATAAGGTTTGAAAATATGACACCCAAGCGCCTAACGCTACTTGCATCTCAAATCACTTTAAAAATTATTCCATTTTTCCCCTGCCCCCTCCCCCCATCAAAATGAAACTACAATTAAATTAACAGACGTACTATTTTTCAGTGCTGTCATAATTTGCCTTGAAGCACACAGAAGCATTACAACAAATTAGGTCAAGAGCAATGCACTTTTACATTCTTCTGAGTACACTGCTGTTGTGGCAAAGCCTGAATTCATGTAATTGCTAATGTAGCAATGTAACACCGTCGTGTGCCGAGGCCTAAATATAAAGGATCGATTGGTCCACGGCCGATCAATGCCTTCCAATAATTAATGGAACACCGGCTCCAATTATGCTAATTGGTAGCCCCCACATGAGTGATCGATGGTATGGCTTCATTATAAAAAACTGAAGGGAAGAATAACATGCAGCATAAAGATGGACACAGGTGAAAGTGTATTTCTAACAGAAAATTTCAGTGCCGCTTCTAGATGGAAATATGAGTCATGATGTGAGTTACATGTATATGTATGTACAGACGCTCTGATGTTAAGCTATATTAACTCATTGCCACAGCAAGCCAATATATTACTTCTGAACATCCCCTTTGGGCCGAGAGAACATAATCAAGCAACTTGATTTTTCACTTTTATAAAGGGTTTTTACTTTTAAAAAATTGTTATAGAGATGAATTTTGAGATGACCTACAGTGTAGATGCACTGTAGGTGATTTTCTTTCCTTTTCTGCTTTACTTTCTCTGAATGTAGATAGAGAAAATGCATCCAAATTTAAATCTGTGGCATATCCAAGGTACTTTGCAAGTGGTGGTGGTGATGGTGGTGGTGATGGTGGTGGTGGGAGGGGGGAGAAGACTTGTTTATGTTGCTGATAGGCCATGGTCCATGACAGAATAAAATCAAAGCCGTATTTGATAGCATTTCGATTTTTGATGATGATGATGTATGCTGCTCAAGTTAGCAGAGCATTCCTTTGTGGGAAGAGTGGCATTTCTGAGGATTTCAAACTTTTCGATGTATTCACATACTGGTATTGAAAAGGAATAAGTTTTTTCTTTGAGGAGAAAATAATAATGGGTACACATGGGTTCCATGAAAATGCCAAAAACAACAAACAACTTCTTGAAATGAAAAAACCTTTTTATACAAAAGTAGTTCCGATCTAATTCATGATTGTAACACAATCTGTGTATACTGGATTTGGGCAGAAATCTGCAAATGACAGATAGACTTGGACATCAATCATGATTTCTTAAGGTTTGTCGGAATGTTTCAAATGTTGGGACAATCATCAGTTACAGGTAATGCAAACTCCATGTCTCACACTACAGGAAAATGGACAGATGACCACAGGGTTTATGATTCGAAAGTACAAAATCAATATTTCGGGCCAGTGATGCATTCAGCAGACTGAGGTCAACTTGGTAGAGCTGGTGGGTATGGAAATATGCTTAGCCTTGAAGAGACAGTAGCTACCAACCAAAATGTTGTGTGATGTATAGCAGCTGTCACTGGTTCCCTGTCTAGTGTTTGCTTAGTACATAGATTTGGCGAGCAAGATACAACTACTGTTAATTGGGCTCTTTGGAAAAAACACACACCCCCCTTCATGGGAACTTAAGAAATCCTAAAAAGAAGGTAAAATTAGCTGGTTATCCTCCGTCCAATGGAACAAAAGTTGTTCAACAATAAACAGTGCAGTCAAGCAAGGTCTGAATAACAATATCATTAAGAGAATGTCTCATAATTTGAACAGGTGGAGCATTTCAGTTGGAATCCTTGTTCTCATTCCAGAACAGGCTGCCCTTCTCTTCAGGATACGGCATTCCCTTGAAAAGTCTGACTTGGAATGGTCTAAACACAAAGTAAAATGTTCCAACTCGTCCGGGAATGTTCCAATGGAATGCTAGAGTTCCAGCGGGACGGTCCAATAAAGTGTGAATGTTCGGACTTTTGAGATGGTCCCTAAGACGACTTCTCACTAAGATGATTTCTCGCTAAGACTTCTCACTAAGACGACTTCCCTGGCTAAAAAAAGATCAGTTTAGAAACACTGGCGTTGACATTACTATCAACACACTGGCTGACAGAATCACTCATTTCTCTGATCCCTCGGGATGTTTCCCTCTTGAAGTCATCAACTCCCTCTGCGACACAGTACTGTCACCGCCATGCAATCTGTGCTCTCCGACAGCCTCAGAAATAAAAATATGCCCAAGCGGGACTCCAACTCCAGACTTCATGCTTAATGACACAGGTGTCTCAAATTCAGGGACTGGCTCAGTTTCACATGGCCCATTTGAATCTGGAGGTAACAAAGACTTGACAGTAGAGAAAACACTAACGACATCTTTCTCTACATGGACAGTGCTTGTTTATTGTTAGAAAGCGCAGTAGACTGCACCTTTACCACTGGAGCTTATTTCCACGGCACCACTGCAGGTAGCGTATTAATGTTTATACAGTCGACTCTCGTTAATACGAGGGACCTTGGGAATTACTAAATTAGCTCGTATAATCCGGACCTCGTCTTCGGCGAAAGCTGCCATCCTGCTCGACGTATGTATCACAAATCAACCGTAGGTAAAGCGTACATGTGTACAAGTATGCATAACTTTGTTTAAAGGCACATAGTATCGTTTCATTACATGAATTTGATTTTAAAAAGTTTGTTTATGACAGTGAGATACAGTTAAATGAATAAAGACTTGTAATAAAGAATAATTATCAAGAGTAAGAACGAAGGAAGCAGAATTTCCACCAGTCATGTCCATTTGGAGCGACACATCCCCAGCCCTGCATGCCGTGATGAGATCCACATGTACGCACGTAACATAAGTACATTAACATTTTAGTTGGTAACCAACACCAGAGCTGCGCTTGGTGCGCATAAAAATGGGAGGAGCCCAGCTATTGGTGATGTGGACAGCAGAGGGCGAATATCTGATTTTACTTTTGAAAGGCTTGTGGGTTTGGTGAAAAATTGTTAGTAAGGTTTTCCCCTTTTTTCTTCAAAACTTGTGGTTTTTCTTAAACATTTTTGGACTGAAAACCACGGTTTAGTCATGATTTTCTCAAATTGAAAATTTATAGAAATGTCAAAATCAGACGGGGTGATATTTTCATGTTACGGTGGGGAGTGGGTAGCGATTTTTTGACAGGGGGTGGGCAGTTTTTTGGGCCGGGTGTTTGGATACGGAACACAATTTTTATTAGTTTCCTCGTCTTAACCGAAATCTCGTAACATATGAGCTCGTATTACGCATTTTTTCCCCTCATAGGAATGTGCACAATTCAGTCGGGACAGGCAAATATGCCCATCTAAACTGGAGTCTCGTCTTACCTAACCTCATATTACCGAGAGTCAACTGTACACGTAGATAATGGATGAGTAATGGTACCCCCAAGTTTCATTTCCTGCCCCCCGGAACAAAATAAAAGACAAGGCATTGACGCATGATGTGAACTCAGACATTATTAAAAACGAAACGTACAACAACAGACCCTGACGTTACATACTCTGTAATGTGTCAATATCTACCAACAGAGGACGCTGTGTCATTTGCCTTCCTTTCCTAGAGCACGTAAAAAATTACCAATTTAGCCTCACACCTGAGACAAGTCCTGGAAGATTACATAATAGAAACCTCCCACGTAGATTTTTCCCTTCTGGAAAAAAAAGTAATGAGGCTGCCGTTGCCATGGATACACTTCACCTAACAATAAAGGGAACTGAGTGCAATCAAACTGGAAAATGACTTACGAGTGGGTAGATGTCATCGTTGTTTTTAAAATCGCCCTTTCTTCTTGGCACGATGTGAATGTGCACGTGCTGTAGCCAAAAACAATCAAATTAATAACACTGGCATTATCACACATAGCACATGACTGGAAAAAAATATTTAATGCACAAATTTAAACAGAGATGCTACAGAAGAGGGGACTTCAACCAAATATTTTACATTAATCAAATTACACAACCAACACAAATTGGTACAACAGGGGAAACAGTAGAAACCCTCATAAAATTCACTGATCTCGTCAATCCAAAAAAATCAGTTACACTGAATAAAAATTTTGTATCACTGAAAGACTTTCATTTCTGACACCCAATGACAGCGAATAGCTGTGTGCAACAACTGATAAAGGTTCCCTGTGACCAAAAATCACACAACAAAGTATTTTATTGTTGGTGCATCGTTGATCGCATGTCATTCAACTATTTGTCCTGTTGCGTGGATGCGGTGGCACTACAAAAACACAGAAGTTCCATTCTACCTGTAAGTGGAAGTTCCATTGCATGGTTATGAGAGGGGTGATTTATTCAGGTGATGAAGGGGTTTCATTTAGGACTTCGACCAAATATTTAATGCTTCACATTCATGCAATGGAAAGAACAATTTCATTTGGTGATGATCGAATGTTCCATTCCACTTAACAGATGGAATAGTACATTTCCATCTATCACGGAATGAAATTCTTCTAACCACTGAACTCAACAACATTCATCTCAATACGCCACACCACTCTCTCATTTCACTGGCACTTACCTTTACTGACTGTCCAGCATCTGCTCCATCCTAAAGCATTAAAAAATGGACAAAAATCAATCAACTTCTAGGAGCATAAGCAGCACAAAGGTCAGTTGTGGATGACTTGTGCATGTTTACTGATACAAGTTACAAGTGGTGGACACAGGCCACGTCCAGATTATTGGCTATGGCTGGAGATGACACACATACCTATGGAAAGCCACTGGCTAACAGCTGCAGCCACTTCCTATTAACAAATGTGTTACTGCTAGCCACAGCCAACAAAACTCGACAGTAGCCATAATCTCAGACAGGTTAGTAATGATCAGATAGTAGGCTATAATCCGTTAACCCCCAAGATCCTTCATTGTCAAGCTGGAGGTTTTGTGAATAAGCTAATGAGCCGAGAGTGATTTAAAGAAAACGAGGAAATTCAAGAAAGGTTGACCGAGGAGCAGTTGGACAGAGTGACACACCTGTTTTACGTTCACCTGCAAGGACAAGAATGAATCCTTTTCAGGTCCTGTCTTCATTCGGAATACATGCACGCACCTGCAGTCCGACAGACATGGCAGTGACCTCGTAATGGACTTCCAGGGCCTTTGCTATGGTGTGCACTGACAGGAACATATCGCTCACTTCGTCCGACGTCATGTCACGAAATCGCTCCACTTTGCGCAAGGGGCATACCAAGACATCTTAGAATGGCCGGGTCAGGGAAAAACAATTGAAATTTCGAAAGAAAAGTGCTGGCCAAGCTAAGACATTTTTTACCTTGTGGGTTAAGTACAAGTCGATATGCCACAACAATTTGTTCAATGGAGTTTTGGGGGAGGTATCTTGGAGGTATGTGCTTTTGCTCTACAAGGGTACACAAGAGTAAAACTTTTTAAATTAATTGCTAAATGAATTGAACATTGAACAACAAAAGACCTCCAAGATCACTACCAAACGCAGCCAACCTCTTCCATAGTAGCCATCTTGGAAGTGTGTTTTTGTTCCATGAGTCATAAGCTGACTGGACCATTAAAATGCCTCCAAGATGGATGCCAAAAGCAATCAATCCCTTGCATAACAGCCATCTTGGAGGTGCATGATTTTGTTCCACAAGGACAAGTACAACTAGACCTCTACAATGCCACCAAGATGGCTGCCACATGTGATCAATCCCTTGCATGACAGCCATCTTGGAGGTGTATGTTGTTTGTTCCACAAGGATGAACCCAACTAGACCTTTACAATGCCTCCAAGATGGATGCCAAGACAATCAATCCCTTGCATAACAGCCATCTTGGAGGTGCACGTTGATTGTTCCACAAGGATGAGCCTGACTAGACCTTAACAATTCCTCCAAGATGGCTGCCAAATGCAATCAATCCCTTGCATAACAGCCATCTTAGAGGTGCACGTTGATTGTTCCATAAGGATAAGCCTGATTAGACCTTTACAATGCCAAATGCACAAGTAAATGAGCTCTATGATCTTACAAACAAGCTCTATGATCTTACAAACAAGCTCTATGATCTTACAAACAAGCTCTATGATCTTACAAACAAGCTCTATGATCTTACAAACAAGCTCTATGATCTTACAAACAAGCTCTATGATCTTACAAACAAGCGCTATGATCTTACAAACATTGAAACCCAGTCTTTGTCTCTTACTTCCAATTACTTGAAGGCAAGCAAAATGGTTGTATAAGTTAAAACTGCATGGGAATAACAAACTGGGACCCTGTTTGTTTCAAACGGATCCAGATCGCAATCTGTAGTCCCAACGCTGGTTCGCTGAATCCATTCAGTGGGTTTTGGTGTTAGTGAACCAACCACAGATTACTGATTGAGATTCAGATCCGTGTGAAACAAACAGGCCCCAAAAGAACGCTGGTTCGCTGAATCCATTCAGTGGATTTTGGTGTCAGTGAA